GTTCAGTAATGTGTATGTACACAATACACACATGATACTTAATTAACAAATATAGCTCATTCATTATCAGTTGTTCAACATACGAATCATCGTATCCTTCAATGATAGGAAAATTTTAAATCCAAATATTTGCTATTTTCAGTTTCTGTCGGAAGTGCAATCGGTCTCTTCATGGGTGCCAGCATTCTAAGTATCTTTGAAATACCATACTGGTTATTCATTCGCCGGGATAAAATAACGTAAAGTCTTTAATCCTTCTCGTATGGATCGTAAGATGTAGAACGCATTAAAACAAGGAAATAGTTATGATACCCGTTGCACTTATCATACCACACAACGTTAAATTCAGCCTACTGCATACCCGCATTTATCTTTCATTTGCACTTAAGGATGTATTGGCTATACAGTCAATCCCAAAAGTTTATGTACCTTAGAAAAACGCATTTCCTATAATTAAAAAGAAATCAGACGTCGGAAGAACAATGCCAATAATAAATAGCTACGTGCTAAAAAGTATAGAAGGAAATATCCAATTAATTATTGACGATAGCGAAAAGTTTATTATACGGAAATTGTAGATCTCGTCGTCCTCTACAAGAAAGGTCATATGCAATTTTTCCGTATGTCCAACAGTTTGGGAGTTATTGGCCAAAAACGAAAATTTCGCAAAATCTGAAGGGGTACCCCTTGGAAAAATCTCGGAAAAATCGAAAATTTTTTGTTGTTGTTTATTATTAGCAATGTTCTTCCGACGTCTGATTTCTTTATAAAAAATGCGTTTCTAAAGTGCATAAACTTTTGGGATTGACTGTATTGCCAATACATCCTTAAATTTATACGCTTTTGCATTGCATTAAAAAAACAGAGCAAACTACGATTCATGAGTGTTTGTATCATCCGAATCACGTGGTAGACAGATTCGCCTGTCTTATCGTTGATGCTACTTGTCGGTAAATACGTACTCGGAACCATAGTTGACACAATAAAAAGTCCTACCTACCTCTTCCACCAGCAAATTGGCTTGATTCCCCTCTGGCGAACCTCTGGAGGAGAACGTCACGCCGTGCGTTACGCTGTCCTCGCCAAAGGTGAATCGAGCCAATTCAATTTGCTTGGAAGGGGTAGATAGGACCAGGTAGGGCCTTTTGCTGGCAACTATGCCAGGAACATCAGATACTGTCGTAAATTCATCATCATCCTTTTATACCCATATAAAAGACGATCAAACACTGCGGAGACTATTTCATTCTCTAATCATGTCTATATCAGAGCTGAAAAGTGAAATAGCACCGGAACACTTGAAGAGCGAACAACTTCGGAGTCATGGAAATTGTAATAATTTATTAACTCTTCAAGAGATACAAGATATAGTAAATCGCGCGTTAGAGGATGGAGCAACCGTACAAAAGTTTTCTGTAAAGCCATGCTCTGACAGCGAGTACGGAGTCCTCGCATCTCATCAGAGGCTCACCGTAGAAGTTAAAACCAGAAGTGGTCGAGACGAGGTACTGTCGTTTTTTATCAAAGCCGTGCCGCAAGATGCTCCGGAGCTAGCCGAATACATATCCGACAGGTTGGTCTTCTTAAAAGAGAAAATTTTCTACCACGACATAATTCCGCAATTGTATCATGGATACGAGAAAGAACGGTGGTCGCCGAATTGTTATCTAATCAAGGAGAACTTGTTGGTGTTTGAAGATTTGAGCCTTAAGGGCTACTCACTGGCGGAAAAAGTATTGAACAAGGAATTAATCGAATCTGGCTTGGCGTCTATCGCCAGAGTACACGCATGTTCTCTGTTAGCGGAAGCGCGCTTAGGAAAATCGTTGAAAAGATTATATCCGTCCGCGTTTGTGGAAAACTCGTTCATCGAAACTGGGAAGACCAGGACACGGTACGAGGTTGCAGTGAACGCCATAGTCACTATCGCTGAATATCTTGGCTTGGATACTAGTATGATACGGCAAGCCTGCGAACATGTGTACCCATCGTTGGAGACGTCGTCTACGAAGAGAAACGTGGTCAGCCACGGGGACTTATGGGCAAATAATATGTTGTTCAGCAACACGGTACCACCGCATTGCTTGTTGATAGACTTTCAGATGGTGAGGTATTTGCCTCTGGCGCACGACGTAGCACAGTTCCTATATCTATGTGCAGATCGCGATTTCAGACTCGTTTGGGAATCTGCTATGTTAAAACACTATTATAATGTATTATGTGAAACAGTGAATTCGGCGAAATCGATTTCAGTGGAAGTTCCTCCATGGTCGGAATTAATAGAAGGAATGGAGGAGCAGAGATTGCCGGCTATTATCTCAGCAGCAGTATTTTTTCAGAACACGTTAATGGATGGAAAAACAGGAAGAGAGATTTTAAGCAATCCTAGCAAATATCACGATTTCGAGTTTAAGACCAGAAACAAAATTGTTTTGGAGTTTATGAAAACTGATCCGGTATATAACAAATGTATGTCACAGATTGTTACCGAGCTGACTGAGTTTAGTTTTCGGCTAGATCAACTACCAAAACCTACTTAAAAAGAAGTACTGTTAAATTGAAAGGTGCCTTTTAGATCAAATGAAATATTCTCTTGTCTACATATTAAATTACCACATGACAATTTCGGTTTACGTACATAAACATATACTGTATTTGTCAAGTAACGTAATAAATATTACAAAAATGAAG